TAGTTCTGTTGCTTTAAGTTCCTCTAGCAATGTCATGTGTGTTTAAATACCTTTCCGCCATTTTGTTTGTTTTGGGAAAATCATTAATTGTACTGCAGTACAATTAATGAAAATATGAAATAATTGTACTCCTCTCAACCAATCAGCGTCCAGTAATTTTGTCATGCTGATAATAAGTACACACTCAATAAGATATTTTAGCTAATGTTAATTGGAAGTCGTAAGCACAGTTCTGTTTATAAGTGCTTATGAGGACTTGCATTTTTAAATTTAGGTGAATGAAGCAAAGACCAACCAGGAAATACTTGAGCTAGTTCAGAGTCATGACATGATTGATTCATTGCTAAGATCAGGATGGGTTGATTCAGTTACCTTATCAAATAGAGATATTGCCTTGCAGAATTTAATCGTTCATGAGGTTTTGGTAAAACGAAAGGAAGCTTTAGATCAATTTTGCAAGGGTTTAAAAGCACTTGGTGTTCATTCTGCCATTCAGACATGTCCAGAAGAAATGAAAGTATATTTTATTGCCCAGCAGAGACAACTTTCAGCTACAACAGTGCTAGAGCTGTTTGCTAACATTGATGCTGTTCAAGAATGTGATATGTGTGAAAAATCCCGAGGTTTTTTGATTGACTGCATTCACTTTTTGGAAACAGGTACTGGCCTTAAGTTATTTTTAAAAATTGCATGTATCAAATGAGCAATCCAATTTTCAAGCAAACGAATAACTGACTCTGTCAGTGAAACTCTGGAACGTTATTTATTTGGAATTTTACATCGGTCATATGTAAGAAGCTATTAAAAAAAATTAGACATGTTAATTAAAGTAATAAATATTTTATTCTATATTTTACTGCTTACATTTCAGATGAAGGTGAAGCTGGTCTTAAAAAGTTTATGTGCTATATGACATGTGCTGAAGAAATCCCACCTCTTGGAATGCCTCAGAAAGTTGAAGTTGTCTATGTTAATCAGTCAAATTTCTTTGCAGAAACATGCATGTATGAGTTAAAAGTTCCAAAAACTCATGAATCTCTTGACAATTTCAAAGATTCATTCATGCAAGCTTGTGCTCACAACAAAGGCTTTGGGGCAGTTTGAGGACAATAAAGAAATTCATAAGAGAAGAAAGAAATTCAAAAACTCATAAACTATTCATATTTTGTTCATTTTTGATCCAAAAAAACTTGGATGTTGAACTAGTAACTGCTCAGTAATTTCATTACAGTTCATGTCATATTACCTTAATATTTTGGGTTAAAATTGTTTATTTATTTAGCTTTGACAACTAGGGCAGGGTCACCACAACAGCATATGCCAATTACTGTGGGCCCTTTTTTACCTAACCCACCCTGTCAACTTTCCCTGTGGGAGGAAACCGGAGTACCCGGGGAAAACCCACGGCTATCGGCAGAGCGTTGACTTTTACTCTTTTCACATGGAGACTGGGTTCGAGTCGCACTGAGAAGGTACTTAGTGAGACTCGAACCTAGCCTCAGAGGTGGAAGGCAAGTGCGCTAACCACTTGGCCACCGAAGCCCCTTGTTATTGCATAGCATTCTAGGAATTTACTGCACTTGTGATAAAAACTGCAATACTCTCATATATATCTCAATTCCATAATTTGAACCTGGTTCATGTGGACTTATCTGGGATTGAAGCTGATGAAAATGTTCTTGTGTTAATGGTAGATCCACACTTGGAACTTCAATAGTGTTTCCCTCATAATCTGCACCATTGCACAAATTTGTTGGAAGTGGACCATCCCAATCTATTCCAAATACTTCAGCTTCATTCTTAAAAAAAAAACAATTGTCTTTTTTGCAACTGCTTTAATTAATTATGTATAATACACAATTTAAAATATATGCATAAAAACTTCTCAAGAATTACCTCGGTTAACTCCTCAAACACTGATCCTTTTTGGGATGAGCCCATTTGCAACTGCCCTTCAATCCACATCTGCATGGGTGTCTTTCCTTCAGTTCCCGAAAGAACATGAGCATTCCAGGACTGTACAAATTGTGCGAGACACTTGTTTATACGTGGAATGAAGACGTGATGCAATGCAAAAATGTGCGCATTATTGTCAGGATCAAGCACGTCACAGCTTTCCAAATGATAGAATAAGTTATAGAACAAGCAAACTACTTGATAAAAAATATCTCTCCACAATCGTTCGATTCGCTGATTATGAACACTCTTTCCTGTAATCATGCTACCTCTTCCTGGTCCTCGATGTGGCTGTGTTAGCATAAACATAGAAACTTCAACATTTTCTCCATCGTCTGATCAAATTCGCGATGGAAGCCCCCAGCAATTGACAGCTTCTTCAAATAGTTCGAAAACTGTATCAGCACGGTTATTATTGGAACAAGATAAATACACTGGTACTCTTGAAAACCCATCTATTCCTCCGTGGATAACCATTTTCCACCTAAAATCGGAGGGAATAATAAGTTATTCAACACTACTTGAAATAAAACTACTGCTATCACATATGCATTGTCAGGATGGAGAATTAATTAAGCTATTTAATTGCATTGATTCTAGACTGTTAAACAAATTAAATAACCCTTTTTATAATATGACAATAGCATGATTTTATTTTCATGAGAACAAAAATTCTGAGAGCAGATTACACGGTAAAAAGTCGTATTGCCTTCATCTAAACAGGTTTTCTCTCGTTTAGACTAAACAAAAATCCGACTTTTATCTAATCAGATCCATTTGTGTTGCAATGTGCCCTTATTTGCCCTATTTTATTATTTTACTTTGTTTAACGCCAGATCATTTCACTCTGTCTAACGCCAGACGATTTTACTTGTCAAGGGGAGAGTGCTGGCGCTTAATTAGTGTTCTTAATTTAGCATACAACTTGTTCTTGTTTCATTTTAAATCATTTGCCATTTACAACGCCAAATGCATGCAAATCATAATCCTGCCGAGAATTTTACTCATTTCTTGTATTAGAAACTCATAAAATACTCTGATTTACTGGGGCGGGGTTGTGCACCCCCTAGCCCTGGCCATAGGGGCGCAGGGGCGTGTGCTATTTTGTCATGTTAAAGCAAAAAATATTAGAGTTTTAAATTTAAAGATTTAGTTTGTTGTATTTTTAATTGTTTTGAAGTACATGTATATTATCCACTAAAATTTTAAACCATGCATGTACCACACAAGGAATAATTAAATTAAGTTGCATTTAGCCTAAAGTCTGGGGTCGTTGGGAGCAAATTTTGTGAACAAATATGATGCTCAGAATGCAGGAAATGGTATTTCTGTGGTTCAAAGTTAGGGTACTGGATCAGTATTGGGGTCGGTGCAACCCCCCCCCCCCGCCCTCCCCACCAGATACTATTACCTAATAAGTACATATATTACCTAATAAGTTTGTGGTAGCCATCTATGTGCCACAGAGAATTTGGTCCCTTGACAGAGTATTTTCTTCTGTAAATAGCAGCCATCCATCGTACAGTTGTGCCTTCTGGGTCAACCCTGCGCAAGGATGATATGTGCGCACTCTATCCTGCTGAATTTTCAGCCCCCGAGATTTTAAATGCCCAATCATCATTCGATAACCACATTGTGGATGACTGAGTTTTATTTCACTTACTATACTATCCAATTCTTCATCACTAAGAGATGCAAATGGCTGAGTGGAGCTAAGTCCTTGTTCGCGCATTCGTCTCCTGACCGTACTCAAGGAAATGTCAAACATATTTGCTATACTCACAGCAGAGAAGTTATGCTTGATTAAATACACCAATTGGTCTCTACAAATATGAAATTTAGGCCTCCCGGGAGTAATTAACACTGGCATTCTTGTTACTGTTCTTGGTTCGCCATTTTCGCCATTGAATACAGACCGCTCCATAATATCAACCAAATGTCTAGCCTGAATAAGATATCTGCTATACGTATTTGGATCCTGTGCTGAGAGAACAGCAAAGCATTGATAGAAAGCTTCAGGGCAATGATGAATGTGATCTATTATATGGGGTTCAGGATCTGGTAAAATAGCTGCCGTAACATCGTTTAAAAGCGTTTCCAAGCGTGTTAGAATTGAATTGCGTACTTCGTCATGTTGATCCGCCATCTTGTTTCTAAATTTGCAAACTCGCAATGCATTTTGGAATTGTTGTTGCCAAATGAAATGATTGTTGCCAAACGCGAGGTCATTGTCAAATGGTAACATTTTAGTTCAGTGCAGTATTACTGCAATAAATTGTTGTCAAACGAATTTTTGTTGTTGAATATTTTGATATTGTCACCAAATGTTTTGCAGTTGCCATAAAATAGTCGGAACCAATAGCCAAATGATGCCAAATCATTGCCAAATTGTTTGACATGCATGCCAAATGTTACAAGATCATTGTCAAAATGTTTCAACATTTGTGTCAAATGTTGACACACATCACCCGCCATACTATTCTGCATGGTATAGAGGCTACCTCTCTAAGAACCGACCAATGGCTCTAGGCTCAAAAAATGAAATTCTTCGTTACTTTCACAATGAAATGTATTTATCCCAAGAATAAACAAACACTGTTTGGAATTTTGAAATTTTATTTATTTTAAAAATTTCAGCGATTTTTCGGTCCTGCGCCGTTGCGCAGAAAACCTCTGTCTAAGTAGGCATAGAAATTAGCCGAATGCAAATACATATAATTTTGGATTTCTTGGAAAAACATGGATTTCTTGGAAGACATCTAGTATTAAAGGAAATATTAATATACACTTATAACCTGTTGTACTGTTTGCTACACCGAGATGCTTGGAAACACAGGGGGTATTTTCGCAGGGGATATAGCTTGAATATAGGAATTATTTCATGTTAAAGAACAAAGCTTTAATTATAGACCTTCAGTTTCATAAATATGGTAGCCAAACAATACTCACGGGTCACGACCTACAATCCTGTTCATTTCGATACAGAAGTCAGAAATTACTTGTTTTGCTTCAGTTTGGTACGCATGCTCACGCTTGAACCAATATGATTGATTGATTTGATTGATCCTTTTCCTGTTAATAGCCACCATCTTTATGAAAAAGATCTATAGACTAGAGGCAAAGCGCTTATCACTTTGATGATTTTTATATTTTATTGACTGTAAATCTTAAATAGGTATAATATCCCAGGAATACTTCTGATGAAGGAGATAGCAGTTTTTATGCAAGTGGCCTTTTTGAGTGTATTTTGCAAAGATACGACATGCCTGCTGCCTAAAAAAGAAGCCTTTTAAAAAAAGGCTACGGCAAAACTACATTGTCTATAAACAATAGAAACTATACCCCCAAAGGAATGCATGGATAGTTTGTAATGCAAAGTTTGGTCTCAGCATTGTCTCATGTTTCTTGGGTGTTTGTCATTTGTTTAATTTCATGCACCTCCAAATTCATTCCCCAAATTCCCAATTTTGCCGGTTACTTCCAGAGATATTCGTTATTTTGTAAATTAATTTATTATGTGTTGAGTAGATGACGTCCGAAGGCACCTAATTTGCATGTGTTAAAAACTTGAATATCTCGAGAACGAGAAAAGATATTGGAAAACCGAAAATGCCTTTGACTCATTTCGAACTGATGTTTTATTCAGATAAAAATCAGACAGACGAATTTTACGTTGCAGTAGCCCTTTAACAATTAGACAATGCACCCAAGTTGTCTATGAGCGTGCTTTCATTTACATGGTCGGATCGGTCAGATCAGAAATTTTGGACCTGACTTGAAGATTCGACCAATCATATCAGCTCTGTATTTGGTGTTTTGTGTTCCAAATGACAGTCAGTCTAGTCTGGCCGATCTGACCATGGATATGGAAAGCGCCCTATGAGCAGATAGTCAACGAGGCACAGCTGAGTTCACTATCGCTTATAGACAACGAGGGCAAGTTGTCTAATCTGAAAGACATTTATAAAATTAATTTAAAAACCACTGTAAAACTCCTTAAAACATGACTCATTTTGCTACTAGTGGTCTATCACCAATAGACAGTGAGTAGCTCAGCCAATCAGAATGCAGGATTTGAAATTCGTTGTCTATGAGCGATAGTCAACTCGACTGTGCCTCATTGACTATCTGCTCATAGACAACTCGCGCATTGTCTAATTATTAAATATATGGCGAGTAGCGAAAAACGAGATGGCGGCACAAAAACTATGAACAAGGGTTTTTTTAAACAAGAAAAAGAAAAATATTCACTTCACAAAGCAATAAATACAATAAAAAAGCTCACAAAACTCACATAACAATATATACATAAGCATTCACTGTACTGAGTAAATATATACAGGGTGTCCCAAAAAAAAGTGACACTATAGAAATTATCCTATTGTTATAATTTGAATGCCCTAGCACTAAGTTGATCCCACAGGTGCATAAACTTCTGCTTCTGGAATTTAAAATAAAAAAGCAAACCGTTTGTTAGAGTAATCGTTTTTCTTGACTGGGGTGTTAAAATATTTGGACAAAGCGAAAACGTTTTAAAATGCTTAAATGTAAATACAAGTTCATTAAATTCCCAGGGGTGTAATCACGCGTGTTTAAGAGCAGCTTAAGAACAATGAGATAATTTCTATAGTGTCACTTTTTTTTGGGACACCCTGTAGTAAACATACTTACTGTTATTATGATCAAAATTAACAATCGCTATATCAAATAAAATATGTACGTAAACAAAGCTTATGCAAACAAACAACTACTGTACCGTGTCTTTAACTCAGAGCGTCAAATGCATTGTATTTTTTCAAACTTTAATAAAATATAAGTTGACCGACATTTCATTCCTATTTTATTTTGCTAACTATATTCTTTCATTAAGAAGTCTACTGTTATTAGTGATTTAAATAGATTTTAAAAATTAACATATGATGGCCACACACATGACACATGTGTGGCACCACACATGAGATCATCCTTATATGTGGCACATCAATGCTATTATGCGTTAATTACGTGGTCTCTGATTAAATAAATTACTAATCACTAATTAAATCACACAAACCGACAAGTTTGTTACTTCCAATACAGTAAAAGGATCTTTCGGAATATACATGTACAATTGAAAACAAGAAAATAAATCGTAATAACATGAATCTTTCCCGCGTGTACATCTTGGTACTGGCAGGAGTGATATAAATTCTTCTTGCGTTGTCTGCTACAATATTGATGAAGAAACGAGAAAGATTTTGCTCGAAGCTTGCGAATATGGAGATTCAGAGAATGGGAACACTTCGACACCCAAGTATTGTAGAAATACA